ACACACACACACGAACAGGGGTTCAACAGAAAATGCAATTCTTTATGAATATATTTGCTTCTATTCACTTCATTTAGTCGATGTTAAGAGGCTGACTCTGCCTTGCCTGGAGATATTTACAGGGATTATGAGCTTTAATACAGTTAAGCTGTATGCACAGATCAATCTGCTGTGAGCCTTTACCAACCCTGTTTGCTTTTTTCGGTTTCTGTAAATGAGATTTAGGAGGAGCGTCGTTATCATTGTGTACTGTTAGACAATAGAGAACACAGTTATGTATTAGCCCACGTCTTTTGACTTTTTGGTTTTTTAAACTTTCTTTTCTCTGTTTGAGAGTTGTTTTTCTAAAAAAACACTGTAAACTTCTGGTACAATATAGTTGCCAGTTTATTAGGTACATCTGTGCAATCTGATGTCATCCAATACAACGAATAGTTCCATCTTGGTGAAGCTTATAAGGTTCGTCAGAGGCGTTTCTACTAATCTGTCCAGGGTGGACAGTATTAGAGCACAATGTGATGCAATCCAACAGAACAGATGTGTTCAGCTCTGCCTCTGTAGCTTGTACAGTTTAGTTTAGACAGGGTTTATTAGGCTGTTGCATTGGATTGCATTAGATCGTGCAGGTGTACATGATAGACTGCCGGCTCATAACAATAAAAGCTTTAATTTGTACCAACAGAGAAAAGAAATTTGAATCACTTTAAGTCATGCAGTTAAACATGATCTTGCGCGGCGCGAGCTGGTGGGCTGGGAACCGTGCCATGTACTCACATCAGCGTGGCTTTGATTCTGGCACACAACCTCGGCGCATGTCGCGCCCTGTTCTCTTTCATCTTCCAGTCATTCTCTGCTGCGCACAATCTCATTTCATAAAAATGCCATACACTTCGCCTGGAAAAAATGCTTGCCTGAATTCATTTTATGTTCCTTAAAAGCAAATAACATTTATTTTTTACAATCGTTAAGACATAAAGTACACTAAATATAACCCTCTGACAACAGTTAGTCAATGCCACTGTGGGACTTTACATGACATGGGGCAAGTGGCCTTTGAGCAAGACCAAAGAAAAGTGTAGCTGCTATATAGTAAGAAAACATGCATGACAAGACAAGATGCAGTGACTGACTGAGGCAGAAAACAAATGCTGGACTATGGAAGAAGTTAAAGGGATATTTTGGGTTTTTTGAAGTGGGGTTGTATGAGGTACTTATACATAGTCAGTGTATTACCTACTGTAATAGTACTGCTGTGGACTGGAACGTCAGCAAAACGTATTTTAGACTTTGTATCCAAAGCCACAAGACTCCATTGAAAAAAAGAACAGTAATTTTACCTCGCAGAACACGGGGTTTATCCATTAACCGATTCGTCAATTTACAGAAACTTCATCCGTAATCGTTTGAGTCAGTTATCAGGAAATATTGCCAAACATTTGCTGATCCCACCCTCTTAAATGAGAGTATTTGTTGCTTTTATTCGGTTTTATATCATTGTAAATGGAATCTTTTGGGTTTTGGACTGTTGGTTGAACAAAACTAGCCATTAGACAAAGTCATCTTGTGAGCCAGAAAATCGTAACGGTCATCTTAAACAAATATTCTCAACGATATAAGACAAACCGCTTAGAAAATAATTTAGTTGCAACCCAAGACAAAGTCCTGCCGTCCACTACAAACATAAACAATTAAAAGATATATCCACAGTGACATTTCTTTTCATCAATTATTTAATGCAAACAACGGAAATAGCCAAACTTAAAAGTCTTGCGAGGACAACACACATTGAGTTTGGCGCTGTAGGCTCGTAAGGGCTGCGAGTGTCTAAGCAAATTCCTTCTCCTTGTTCGACTGAAGGCGCGGGCTGGCAGCACAGTGGAGACAGAGCTAAAAACCAACTGGGACCAGTCAGCCAAACCATTTCAACCGCTGGAGCTGTCTGTATGGATCAACAGCCAACCTCGTATTCCTCTGCCATCGCCTCTTGCTGGAGAAATGTCTAAACAAGGGGAGCCGCGGTCCCTCAAGTACCGCACTACACAACTTCCTCGGCTAATGGGATCTATTGATTTATTTGACACAATGTGAATTTATGAAGCTGCCTCTTAAGCGTGAGAGTATCAAAGCGAGGCTCAAAAAACAAACAGACGGAGATTCGGCTTGACATTCCGGTAATCCCAAGGTGAGTACGCTCTTCTCAGAGAAGGTGCCACAGCGGGAAAAAAAAAGAAAAACAATATTACGTTCTTCTTCTCCTCTCTTTGCCCCTGCAGTTCTACCCACAGTATGAAACAGCAGAAGAGCAGGAGGAAATTAGCAAAATATGGCAAAATGCAGATCTCGCTTTCCTCAATGTGACTCACGGAACACCGTGTAGAAACACCCCAAATGTCTTAAATTTGCACAAGAGAAAATAAAGAGAGGGGCTTCACACGCTGCCTTTGTCTGGATTACGCACTCTTTTATCCCACTGAATTCTTGTCACCCAAAGGTCATTTCCATAATAATGGACTCCATTCTCCCTAATGGGATTTTGGCTGTGATTATGTATGCCAGTGTCTTGTGCAGACACCATCAGCCCTGTCATCCTGAATTGCACAAATGTAATTACGCAAAGCCTTTGATAACTAAACAATGTAATTTACTGCTTGAGTAAAAATAGATACAGAGTTATATGACTCAAATTATACATTAAAGGAAAGCGTGTGAGTGCCAGAGGTGGTGTGTTGCAAAGAAAATGGTGTTCTTTATTGTAAGAAAGTTAAGCGCTAATGCATGCTTTAAGAATACTGGATGTCCATTCAAGTGATTTCACAAAAAAAGTATTACTTTAAAAAGGAATAGTTCCACATTGATGGGATATACTCTTATTCAATAACATAAAATAGCAATAATATCCATCTGCTAAATATGAAGCTGCAGCAGCCAGTTAGCCTAGCTTAGCATAAATACTGGAAACTATTGAAAAAAAAAAGAACTTCGGTAGAAATTTCATCTTAAAGAGCCAAAGCAAAACAGGAAGCTCCACGTTTTGTTCCAGGAGTAAGAAAATCTCATTCAAAACCCCATTGACATTTTTAACTACATTATTAACCAGAAATCCAGCCTTTGGAAAATACTCATACCAAACATTTGACTTTGTGAAAGTCGTGAAGGTTTCCATTGCTAATACCGTGTCTAAAGTGTCTAATTCAGTGTCACAGAAACAACTTGACTCACCGGCCAATTTGCCGTGTTGGGTCTCATGTACATGAGTTCATTCAGTACAGTTCATTAACAACAATAAGGTGTCATCATCAAGGTATCATAGCCTTCCGAGATTTACTCAGAAAAGGAAAATCTCCCTGCATTTGCCACTTTGTCGGGTGTTCATTTCTGACCCTGGTTGTAGCGGATGAATATGTGAATATATATCTCGTGAATATGGACAGAAAGTTTCAAGGAATGTTTCAGTTTTTCTCACAGATTGATGAATGAGAGATTACATTGAGTTACAGAGAGAGAACAGTTAATGACCTCAAGATATTGGCTAGCATTATCTGTCAAAAGGTAACAAAATCCACCTATCAGCAGCTCTACAGCTCGTTAAGTAGTTGTTGTCGCAATATTCTGTTACTTCGGACAGAGCCAGCCTAGCTGTTTCCCCACTACCGATCTTTATGGTAAACTAAGCTAACCAGCTGCTGGCAGTAGCTTCACATTTAGCAACCAGATATGAGAGCGGTATCGATGTTTTCTTACAACTCTTAGCAAGAAAAGGAAAAAGAGCATTTTCCAAAATGTTGAACTGTAATGTTTTAACTAATAAAATGTTGAAAAATATAGAAAAAGGAAAGTACACGCACATACAAAATAAATACGTGCACTTGCAGTGGACATTAAAACAAAAAAGACACCTGGAGACAGGACGAGGGTTAAACTGGTGAGAGTGGTGCCTTTAACCACAGGTGACACCGAATCTGGCCCCCCCAAAAAAACAATCCTTCGTCCGACATCCAACACGAGCGACACATATCCTAACCACCCTGCCCCCAAACCTGCCCACAACAAACTTCCCATTGCCCCCCCCCCCTCTCCTGAAAAAAAGAAAAAGGGGGAACGAGCGAGGCGGCTGTGATGGTAGATTTACTGATGAAAAAAGGTGAAGCGAGAACATTGGGAGTGATAAAAGGGGACAGGGAGCGAGTGACAGTTGGGTTAAGACAGAAGTCATGTTCAATAGCAGGTAGAAACATCAAACAGGGAGTTCACAGGAAACCCCATGCAACCTTGTCTTGAAGGAGGATTTTCTGTTGTGTGGAGTAGATTATATCTGTTCAAGCTGCTGACACGGCCTCATTTGCTGCCCGTAGTGTTGGAGGGGGATTAAACGATATAAACTTTAAAGCTTTAAACAATACCTTTCAAAATTAAATGGATTAAGGGAGGGGTGTCTGATGGGGATTTCCCAAGGCTTTGTTAGTTTTAAACTCTACTCCTTTTAAAGAAAAAATAAAAGGGGGGAAAAAGAAGAAGAAATTTCTCAGGCATGTGACCGTTTTAATGAGGCTGCTCTCATGTTGAGGAGGGCAGCGGGCTGCTGAA